TCTCTTTCAAAATCTCCTCGTCTCACGCCGTTGCAAGCGAAGGAACGGGAGTTTATCGACGGAACTTTATACCTACACGCGCGTCTCTCTGCGCTCGTCTGAGCTGATGGGCTCCTGGAAAAATCTAGGGCGAACGCTTCTGGCTTCGCGAACTACTCTCTATCGAGATATACGATACTGACCCGCACTTCCTACATGCTTTTGACACTGTCGACACGGGTTAGAACGTCTATCAAACCATCTTTTATAAGAGAAATAAACTGTCATTCAAACGATAATCTATTGGAAAAGTTTAAAGAAATTTAAAACTAAATTTCAACGTCTAAAGACATTAAAAAATATATATTCGTAAATCGAATACGCGATTTTAGAGTTGATGACTTAAATTTTTTTCGATATAAAATCAATGATTTGGAATAGATAGTAGACTTTAAAAACGGGTACGTAATGGAAAATATCCAACGTCAATTCAAGATCGAGAAATTCTTAGAAGGGTTGCAAAATGCAATAATTGAGTATCAATAAGAACCTAAAGCATCTTAAAAAAATAGTGAAGCTACGGTACGGTATCTAAATTGCAAAATGCTTCTCTTCTAAGTCAAAGTACTTTGTTTCGCGTCGTATGATCGTCGTAATGGACGGCAATCTCGATTGGAGGTTTGCTGGTTTGGACCGCAACCCCTGTCGCGAGGTGAAGCACGCTATCCACGCTAAACGCCCGTTTCGGAGTTTCGCCATATGACGCTAGCGATCGAGTGAGCTCACTCGCGGAGGGGCTGGTAATGACGACAAGGGTCGCGGCGACGTTGCCCCTGCGACATGTGGCAGTGTCGTATAGCTCGAGCCAAAACAATTTGTATTAAAATGAGCGTTGCCTCGCGGCCACCGGCGATTTCGTTAGAAATTGCGAGGAGGAGTTGGAGACACACACTCGCGATATACACACGATATCGCGTACACGATAGCGCGTTTCCCGAACACACACGGAACGTTCCAATAAGGACTTATGTAAATTTTAGTACTGCCGTAGCCAGCCCAAACCGAAACTGTGACACGTCCGGCGTCAGTTAAATTAAGAATATTCATAATCGGAATTTTAAATTGCAACATAGATTGTTGCCATAAATCATAAAATCATATTACAATCTGTCAGTGTAAAATAAATAATCAACTTCCGTTTAAACTGCATTATATCACTTCTCACATAGTTCTTAATTAGATGCACTTTTAAATAATTAGATTAAATAACTTAGACTTTAATAAATTATTCAAAATTATTACATTGAGAAAATAGGCATTGACAATAAAATTCAAATTTATTTTACTTTTTCTTTCATGCTTTGTCAAAGACGTAAACATACTTAAAAATAATAAAATCAATGATTTTCCTTTGTAACTGGCGCATTTCCAGTGATTTTGTACGCAATAATGATCCGTGGTATCGGAGACGCGTCGTGCTTAGCGCGTGCGTGCTCCAATCTGTACATGGTTTTACGCGGAAACCGCGCCAAGTCGTGAAGCTTTCTTCACGCATGCCTGAACCGATCGATGCAGCTGCCGCGTTCGACTGCTGTCACCTTATCCAGTATGCTTCTCCTGACAGCTTCAGTAAAAATCCTCATAGACGGATAGATTGAGATAACGAAAAAAAGAGATAGCTCCTTATCGGAAACCTTAAAAAAAATTCCTTCCATGTTTTTACGATGAATCACAGGATATCTCTTTGAGTACTAATTTGAAATTCGATATAAATAATTGGAATTAATCAATATATTCAGAATAGCCATTTGATACGAAGCTAAAAAAAAAAAGGTCCAAAGATCCTCCATTGTTTATGCAAATTATTATGCAAAGATGAGGCGCCATGAATCTTTTTCCACTTATTAGACATTAGGAATAATAAATCAATTTTTACGATTATAATTAAATTCTGTTCTTTTAGAACAAAGAGAGTTTACTTTGAGAAGGCGGCGTTTAAAGAAAATCTGACTAATGTCGACCGATAACTACAGACTTTCAGCAAAGTCCAGCTTCTCGAGCGCAAACTTACTGGGCGACGTGGCAGACGCGAACGGTAACGTCTGCCCTCGCGTACGATCGCTTTAAAGACTTATCGAAAGGAAGACTGTTTAAAGAGGACCGTAAAGGGCCGATATGAAGAGCCGGGCCACGATTACGACATACACGAGCGTACAATCGCCGAAAACTGTCTCGACGCGGTCGAGTGGATGGCTGGCTTCTGCTACCAGAAGCTTCGGTTACCACGTTCCAGCTGATAACGTCGCAGACAAGTGGCACGTGTCGCCGGCGCTTCCTCCAAAATGGCAGACAATGATGCGCTTAGCGCACATCGACATTTAAGATACAAACTAAACCAGACCAGGCCGTTCCTGATAGCACATTTTTAGAACGCATATGCCACGTATCTTCCATGTAACAACGTCGTATAGCACGTTCGATATTATAAACGTTGGTCCATAACTATACCGAATTTTACAAAGAGCTTTTAAATATATTAAAAGAAAATTCCTCGAATATTGTTTCTATAATATAGCCGAGATATTTTTAGGGAGGAAGAACTTTTCAGAGAGAAATGAGACATAATCATAAAGTTCTTACGTAACTCTAATAAAATTCAATTCTCACAGTGTGTCTTTTCAGATTTACAGCGATGTGATAAAATAAATTTACGTTAAATAAATGATTTCCGCAAAAGATTGGTTTACATTTATATTTTCAACAATATCTGGAATTGTACTATATTTTTTTAATGTGATGAATATAGATTTTTATTTATCAAAATTTTTATCAGTTTTAAGGGTGACTGCCCTATTCAAATGGCAGACGATCATGCTACGATTGGAAGACTTCGCTCGGTAATTGGATATACAAACCACGATGGTATATCCGGATCATGTGTACGTCACGATGAGATTCTGGCCGGCAGCGAAAGGCAATATCGCTTGTCCTTTGCGAAAATCGTGGCTGATTCCGGAATATTTGAAAAGGGCACATTCGTTCCCGGTTTTTATGATGTCCATTCTTTTAGTACTCGAGTGG